CTTCTTCTTTTCCCCCCTTCTTTCCCCCCTTCTTCTTTTCTCTCCTTCTTTCCCCCCTTCTTCTTTTCCCCCCTTCTTTCCCCCCTTCTTCTTTTCTCTCCTTCTTTTCCCCCTTCTTCTTTTCCCACCTCTTCTTCTCTCCCCCTTCTTTCTTTTCTCCCCCTCTTCTTCCACCCCCCCTTTTTATTTTTTTCCTATATATTATGTCACTCTTCCAGGAAGGGAGTTGAGAAAATGCCTTCTTAAGGGAAACAAGGCCAACCAGGCTGTTCTGTGCTGTCCTGTTGGGGAGAGGACAAGGGGAGCCCCATCATAGCACAGGGCAAAGCCTGTGAATATTTGTGTTCTGTTACTGCCCTACCCAGGGAAAAGCTCCTGGTTGTGTGTGGAGGGTAATTCCCACATCTCCTCTCAGCAGTTCAGATGGAGGTGACCATCTGAATATTGGAGGATCAGGTGGTACTTTTACCTCCTTCCTTTGTGCTGTCTCACACAGTCCAGTTTCCCCCACCCTCCCAGTAAATCCCGTTGTTATTTCCAGCTTGCAGCTAAAATGCAGCAGGACCATTTTACAGACAAAAAAGGAGGGGTTTAGTGACTTCCAGAAAGTCCCACACTCAGAGATGGACCTGGACCTGGAAACCCGGGGGCTGATGTCTTTAAAGACAAGAGCAGAGGTTTGCAGGGCTCCCTCCCTCGCTAATTAGTGAGGAGGAGTAATTCAGAAGCGCCAGGGCTTAACTAATGCACTGTCACTGAGTGGTGGAAACAAGGAAAGTCCTTATGAAACCCAAGAGGTCCAAGAGCCAGAGAGCTGCAAGACGTTTAAAAATATCCCCGCATGCCAGAGGAGTCCCTGGATTAGTGGTGCCTTGGGAAAGCCAAGCACTTTCTCATGCTGACACCTGGAGGCCACAGCTTGTTCCTTCAGACGGGCCTGTCCCCTGGGCAGCCCTGGACGAGGAGCAGCCCCAAGTTGAGCTGCCTCAAAACACCGTCGGGACCCCCCTGGTCTCACCCCTTGTCAGGGACCCGGGTAATAAATGACAGCCCTGAGGGCTGCAGGGCTCTGCCTGCTGTCTCGTTCTGCCGTGTTTTATGTCCCTGCACCATCTCTGCCCTCCACCAGCGCTGTAAATCCTTCAGGTGCTGTTCCATGGAGCAACACCCTGCCCTGTAAATCTTTCTCCTCCTCTCCAGGAGCTGCTGGTTCCTGGTTCAGCGTTGCAGCGAGTGATACCCCAGGGCAAAGAGGCACATGTATCACCCTCTCAGGCACAGCTATTCGGGGTGGGCTTGTTTCCTCTCCTCCAGGAGCAGTTTCTTAAGGAGTAAAGAAAAAGAGGTGGGGGGAAAAAAAAACCCCAAAACCAAAAATCGAACCACTTTTTTCACTTAAAAGCGGAGGGAGAAAGTTTTAAACTTGGTCACCAGAAGAGCCTGGCTGCTTGGTTTGCAGCTTGGGCTGATGCAGCCCGTTTCTTAAAATAACAGGGGATTGTTTGAGGGACTCGTTATCCTCTTTGGATCCTGGCAAACAATTTTGGAAATGGCTGAAACTGGATAGCTGCGGCCTGCAGGCTGTCAGTGCTGAGGGGGTTAGAATGCCTGCATTGATTTGGAGCTCATTATCTTGTTACAGAATATCTTGGTGCAATCAAACAGTGCGTGGCAGAGATGGCTTTGGGGCTGTCCAGAGCCAAATGTCACGTGGAGTTTGGTTGGAAGAGCTGCCCGTGTGGGTGGGACGATGCCCGCGGCGATGAGATGGGCACTGGGAATCTGTGGAGCTTCCAGGGATGGAGAACGGGAAGGGCAGAGCCCAGGCTGATGGGTGGAGGTTGATGGAAGGGGAGAACCTGGCAGATGAACCGTTTCTCCTGGATTTCTGTTGTGGTGGCACAGGTGCGTTTTCACACCCACTGGGAATCCAGTGCTTCCAGTCAGGAGCTCTTCAGGCAGGTTGTGCATCTGGGCTAATAAACCAAACCACATCCAGGCAGTTTACTGGGGCTTAAGTGCCCAAGGATGGTTTGGATGGTGTTTGGAGCAACCTGGTCTAGAGAAAGATGTCCCTGCCTGTGGCAACAGGGGTTAGAGCAAGATGGACTTAAAGGTCCCTTTTAACCCAAAGTATGTAATGATTGCAGTGTCTCAGATCTTCAGAGGAGAATTCACACACCCTTTTCCATTCAGGACTCTCTCAGCACACTGGGAACTCTTCATTTTGTAGCACAGTGGCAAGAAGCCAATTCTACAGTCCAGGAGGACAGAGGCTTGGGAACATCTGTCTTTAGTAGTGGGATCCCTCTGACAGGCATGTAAGCAGGCTGATCTAGGGTGTAACCTAGAAAAAATACCCTACAAAGGGTGAAAGCTGCTTAGAAGGCATTTGCTACCCAGAGGAGTTCAGAATCCATGAGGTTTTGGTGTGTGAATTAAAATAAAGGATTCTCCCAGCAGTTCCAATGAGAGTGTTTGCAATGCTGGAGATGTTTCTGTGGTGTCAGAGGATGTGGTCTAACTTCGGGGGGAAAAACAGATGGAAAAACTCTGAATTTGGCTTCCCAACCCTGACTAGTCCTTAAAATGTCCTCAGTGAGTGTGGAGTCGAGCCTTTTTTATTTTAACTTTCCTTCAAGTGAGGAAAAGGTTCCTGCTCCTCTTTTCCAGGTGAGCAGTAGAACGGTTGGATAATTCCTACCACAGTCTGGTTTGAGTCAGAACCCTTGGGAGGACCAAACCTCAGTCCCCTGGGCTGGATTTTCATCAGTCCTTGTGCACCTGGGAGTGTTTTGGGAAGGCAGGCTCTGGGAATGGGCCAGGAAGTGCCCCATGAGCTTGGACTATCATGGACCTCTCAAGGAACAGTTCCAAAAATGACCTGGCAGTGTCTCTGCATGTCCTCGGTTGACACACCAGCTCACAGATATATCCACTACTGGCACCAGCCACTTGTGTTATTTTTGAGTGGGGGATTTCTTGAGCCCCATCCAAAGCTGGGCTGGAATTGCATCTCAAATATGCAGTCGTTTACGGCTTCCATGGCCGGAGAATGGGCAGCTATAAATACTGCCATGTTTGCTTTTTATTTCTGGCTTTTGCGATTTGGATTGAAATCCTGGGGCTCTCTGAGTGTCACTTAAACTGGTGAGGGGAGTGGATGCTGTCACATCCCTGCAGGTGAGCGTGGAGGTGTAAAGAAGGGGGTTGTGCAGGGAAGGTTTGAGGTGTAAACTGCTTTTTGAGGCACTCAAGTGAGGTGCTGTGCTGGGGTCCCAGCCCTCAGGTGCCTTCTGGTAATTTTGTTGGACTGGAGTAGGACCCAGTGACTTTTTTTCAGGGAGAAAGGGAAGAACAAGGAGCACTCGTGGTTCTTGCCCCAGGTATGAGACTGGAATCTGTGCTGGGTTCCTGCCCTTTGGTGTCCCCTTGGTAGCAGCATTGCTGTCCCATGATACCTCCATGGCCTGTCCAACCCTTCATGGAATCATGGAGTGGTTTGGCTTTGAGGGGACCTTAAAGAACATCTCACTCCAACTCCCTTCCGAGGGCAGGGACACTTTCCACTATCCCAGGTTGCTCCAAGCCCTGTCCAGCCTGGCCTTGGACACTCCCAGGGTGGTACAACTCCTGCTCAGCTCTGTTTCCAGGCACAGACTGTGCACAGAGTGACAACCACAGAGACTTTATTCACGTCCTTTAATTCTTGCTTTTGCCACCTCCACACATTCCTTGCCCCCTCTGTGTCCTCCTCACTATCAATGATGCACGTAGAGCTTAACATGCTTTGAGGGTGTCACAGGATGGACCAGGCTCTTCTCAGTGGTGCCAAGCAACAGGACAAGAGGCAATGGGCAGAAACTGATGCCTCACAGGCTGAGAACATGGGCTGAATTTCCTCCTTCCTCAGTGCATGGAAAAGGATGATATCATTTGATGGGATGGGAGCTCTGAGTGAGTCAAAACTGCAGAAATCCAGAACCAAGTGCTGTCCTTAAAAAACACCTTTCACAGACTCATAGAATCCCAGAATAGTTTGGGTTGGAAGGGACCCTAAAGATCATCTCCAAACTGATGCCCAGGGCGTTCCACCTGGACATGAGGAAGAACTTCTTTCCTGTGCAGTGACCGAGCACTGGAAGAGGTCCTCCAGAGAGGGCGTGGAGCCTCCCTCACTGGAGACATTCCAGAGCCATCTGGACACAATCCTGCGCCATGTGCTGTGGGATGACCCTCCTCGAGCAGGGAGGTGGGCCCGGATGCCCCGCTGTGGTCCCACCCCGTGATTCCATGACACAACTCAAGCTCTTCTCACAACAGGTTTTCCCTCAGCATCCTACTGCTTTTTTTCCTTTCTCTAACCTTTCCTCCAGCCACAACTAAAGCCTCTCTCCCTCCTCCCCGCTGCAGGTTTCAAGGAGACAGCGTTCCTGTACGCCATCTCCTCGGCGGGGCTGACCCACGCCATGGCCAAGGCGTGCAGCGCGGGCCGCATGGAGCGCTGCACCTGCGACGAGGCGCCCGACCTGGAGAACAGGGAGGCCTGGCAGTGGGGGGGCTGCGGGGACAACCTCAAGTACAGCAACAAGTTCGTCAAGGAGTTCCTGGGGAGGAAGCCCAACAAGGACCTGCGAGCCCGGGTGGACTTCCACAACAACCTGGTGGGCATGAAGGTGCGTTGGAGGCCGCTCGGGGTCTGGAGGGGGGGGAGCGATAAAGGGGCTGCCTTCGGGGTGTGGGAGCAGGAGTGTGGGATGGAGAACGCATGGAGGGATCCTTCTTCTGGAAGGGTGAGGTCTCGCTCGTGGGGCTGTGCCCTCGTTTTGTCGCTGTGCTTTGAGAGTTGTGAGAAATGATGGAGAGGGAGCAGAGGGGAAGGAATGGGACTGCCCGGGTCTAGGAAGTAGGAGGTGGGGATAAGGGTTACTGGTTTTCCACAAGGAAAACAGGGCTTACACTAGAAAGGGATGGAAAGACGGGTTCTTCAGGCTTACATGAGGTAGGACACGGAGGAAGGGATTTATGCTGCTGCAACACAGGTTGGGGGACACTTTTCTTGAGCAGTTCAGTACAACGTGGACAGTAGAGCATTTCCATGGCCAGGTTTCTTTAATGCTGGCTGGAGAACCTGGCAGGGGACCAGGGTGGACAGATGAATTTCTGACTGACCTCAGACCCTTCAGCTTTGTTTTCTGGCAGAAATCTTCCATGTCACCCAGAGCTGATGTGTTTGCAGGTGACAGTGCTTGGGTGTCAAATCCCTTTTTCCTTTCCCATCCTTGTCCTCTCTGCTGGAGGACTTCCTGCCCTCTACACCTTGCTCTTCCCACGAGGCTTTACCCTCCTGCCCAGGGGCCCCCCTGCAGGACTGCCAGAGTTCAGGAAACATTTGGACAATACTCTTGAGCACATGGTGTGATTTTTGGGGTTGTCTTGTGCAGGGCCAGGATTTGGACTCAGTGATCCTTGTGGGTCCCTTCCAACTCAGGGTATTCTACGACTGATGTAAAGGACAAAGTGTCTGCAATTGCTGGGTCATCCCAGCAAGGGGAGGGGGAGAGGAAGGGGCTTTCCACCTTCTCCCATGATCTGCTTGGCTGCACCTAGAGTTGCCCAAACACGAAAATCCCTCAGATTGGCCAGCACAGGTGCTCAGGATCAGGGTTTCACCGCACCAACCTCCGAGGGGGACATACTGTAAGGCCAGAAATAGCCTTCGAGCCTTGTTATTGTCTGTGTGATTGGATGCGGGCTTGGGGCTGGGATGGGGGACCTGGGTCTCCAGTTTCCCAGGCAAATGCAACCCAGCCAGTTGTGCATTCTAGGAATGGCCACCCCAGCTCAGTTGTTCCCGTGCGTATGTAGAAAATGTCATTCCTCGCGACAGAGTTGGGCCATCGGGGAATGCCACCAGCGAGGGCTGGCCAGCAGAAAGTCTGCCCCTCTCCCCACTACCAGGTGCTCCTGGACAGTGCCGAGATCAGGATTAGAAACATCCTGGATTTAGCTGCTGTCTGGTTCTGGCTGACAGCTTTTCTGCTCTGGATTAAGGGGCTCAGTGTCTGTGAACTCCCGCTGCAGCTCTTTGACGTGTGAAACAGGCTTTGCAGGATGATGGAAGTTCCTTTTAGTCCTTGTGGTTGGTTGTTCCTGAGGGCCTGTCCCATCTCTTTGGAGTTGGCTGGGTAGCTGATGGGATTGACAATGGAGGGTAGTCCATGGAGGCTGTGATTTCATGCTGGATGTTGCTGTGAGATGTCCTGGCTCTCCTCCCATTCCACAGGCAGATAATACAGTCTCATCAAAACCGTGGCTTTAGGTGCCATTGGCATGTTCTTGTAATTCCATGAATATCTACCAATAGTGGTGGGGCTAAAAATCTTGCCCAATGGATTTGACCCAACTCCCAGTGTTCCCAACCCCAGCAGCTGCAGTCAGGATGCCCACGTGGCTGAGACCAGTCTTGGAATTAGGTCAGGTGTCCTTACCTATCACCTGTGCTCTACACTATGTCACTTGGAGCTAAACAAACTCCAAGAATGAGCTGGAGGGCTTGAATCTTCCCTTTCTTCCTTCCCTTTCTTGATCCCACTGCAAGTTAGTTCCCAGGGGAAGATGCAGGACTCTCCAGCATCCTCTGCCTCCCCTTTTTTTGGCACAGTCGGGCTCTGGTCATTGGCAGTGGTTTCTCAGTGTAATATCTGCAGCTAAACAGCTGAGTAACAGTTGTGACGGTTGTCCAGACACTCAGAGCCCTCCTGGCAATCCAAGTCAAAGACCTTTGCTGCAGGTCAGTGATCCACTCACTGTTCCTATTTTTGTCCACCCACAACGTGTCAGTCGAGTTGGTGTTGCTGCCTGACAGCTTTCCTTGCCTGTTGGCAGCAGCAGATGAAATGATTCCTCTGTTTGTGCTGCTGGAATAATTGGACCACGCTCTGGTTGAAGGACAAGCCAAGCACCAGATCCACACCAGCACCATGAAACCAGGCACAGAACAAATGCATTTCACATTGAGAAGGAAGTTTTTAGGAGGATGGCGCTTCAGGATCAGGAGAACATGGATCTGGTAGAGTCAGGATATGTGGACCTAAACCACTGGCACAATCTGGTGTCATTAAGGTGATCAGAAATGACGACTCAAAACTCGTTTTGTAACTGCAAGTTCAAAACTTGGCAGTGCTTCCCTCAGATTCCAAAATTGAAACCAGTTTGAAGCCTGAGCATTGACCCTCTTGGTGTGGTTGGTGGATTGGGTGTAGATTAATCTACACTTGGGTGTAGATTAATATCAGGTTCCACCCGTGTCTTTCCTCCTGGTCCCACTTGCGAGTGCAGTGTTGGAGGATGAGGTTGCTCACCAGGTACTACCACGTTTTCCTTGCTGAACTTATTAATATTTTCCTTGAGGAAGGTGGCGGGTTAAATACAATTCTCCACTTGTCTGTCTTCAAAAGGAGCTGCCCATCCATAACTCCTGCCATTCCAGCCGTTTGAGCGGGATTTGCTAACCTGGCGACTACGACAGCCTGAAAGCACTTTGAACTAACCCAGTTTGGCTGTTCGAACAGTAACTCGTATGGATTTGATCAAAGGCAATACAGGAGTGCAGATAGCCTTGATTTGGGCCATTTTGGAGCTGAACAATTTTGAACTGGAGCACTGAGAGCCTGTGGATCGTTGTGTGTGTGTTTTCGCCAAGGGAGTGGAGGAATATCCATTGGTGGTCTCTCCCATGTCATTTTTCCCATCTAATCACCCCCAACCGTGGCAAAACATACAAATAGTCCCTTGAGACCCAGCAGAAAAAAAAAAAAAAGGACCTGTGCTTAACTGAGTAATTTGGCAACCAACCTTCTGGTCAACAGAGCAGTTTCTCCATGGTGTCACCCCAGCAAACAATCCGTGTGTTTCTGAAGGGTGACATTATCTCATCCCGCCTAGTTTTAGTGTCTCTTGGTGGAAGTTCTCATTTAATTATGATTTTACTTCTGCTTTTTTTTTTTTTACAACCTTGATGGGCTGCCTGTAATTCTGCTGCCACCAATGAACTAATCACTGGACATGTTGTGCCCGTGGTGGCTCACCACGTTATATGATATGAGCTCAGTGGTTAATGAAAGGGCGAGCTTGTCTGGTGTGAGGATGAGGTAATTAGACCAGGACTTCTCCAGCCTCCTCTTTATTGAAAAGTAGGAGCTCTGAATAGACCACTTATTAAAAAAGCAATTTCCCTTCCTTTGCCAAATCTACTCTTTCTCATCCAACCATTCTTTCCGAGGGGTCCTGGGTGGAGAGGGTGTGTGTTGGGGGGGAGATGGTTGTGTGTGTCGAGGGGGTGGTAGTGGTGTGAGAAGCCAACTGTATTAAAGCCCCATTGCCAGCAGTGAAGTTTCTTAGTTATATTAAAAGAAGCCCAGGCAGCCTTGCTAAACCTCTCATCTTCTCTCTATATCCTCCCCCCCGCTTCCTCCCCCTTGTACACACAAGTGCAGCCCTCTTTTGTAACCCATTAATGAAAAGTCGGAATATTAGAGCACTCAATTAGTTCCACTGGGCTTGAGTAAGTGATGTTTTAATTAAATTTGCCCAGTTTCTCAGCAAAGTATCATTAAACATGACTTTCCAACTCCCTCTCTGGAGCGTTGCTAAGTTTCTTAATCCCAGGAGTGCTGACCTCTTCCAGAGGTATGTCTGGTCAAGCATGTCTTACAGATCCAAGGGGCACTATTAAAGGGGGCTGCTGTTACCCAAGGAAAAAAATTATCCTGTTCTCATTCCCTTTTTCCTTTTTCCCTCCAGAAGGAGGGACGCAACCCTTTGCCTTCAGGACCCGTGAGAGCCACAAGTGTGGAGGGCAGAACTATGGGAGGGCAGAAACGGGGAACAAAACAAAGACTTTTCCCCAAAAAAGGTCTCCCTTTGAGCAGTGAAATGGAGAGCAAAAAAGTCTTTCCCCCCAAAAAAAAGATCTCTCTTTAGGAAATATCTTGCTTTGAAACTGGTTCCCTTCATGAGGTTTGGTTGGTTTTGCACAGGATGTTTTGGTCTGTGTTTCTGAAGGATCATGGAATAGTCGAGTGGTTTGGGTTGGGAAAGACTTTAAGGATCATCTCATTCCAACCCCCTGCCATGATCCTTGTCTGCCTTGCTGTAGGATTTGGGTGCAGACCCACCCTGAGACACATTATACCCGAAACAACTTATACCTTGAACCGCATGGGATGCTCTGGAGAGGATAGTGAGAGGCGCATGGACTTTTCCTTGCTGTTGACTTGCTTATTTTGGAATTCCGTGCAAGGAATGGCTTTTCCCCGCCCCGGCAGTGCTGGCAGGGATCTCTCTGGAGGGGCTGAGCGTGCTGGAGACGGACTCTCCATATCAGGGAGATGTTTGCCCAGCTATCATCTGTCTGAGGAACTTCATGAGCTATCACATAACAGGTTATCAGAGCCCAGCACCCTCTTCATTTCTGCATCTCCGTTTTACAGGGTGGGGAAATTGAGACCCCGAAAGATTAAGTGACTCACTAAAGGTCACACACAGGCGTAGCAAAAGCACAGCCTTGCACCCTGGTCTCCTGTTGCAGAGACTGTGTTTACAAGCACTGACCATCCAGTCCCATCCAGTTCCTCCCAGTAAACATGATTCCAGTCGAATTCCAGAGTTTGTA